GTTTTCCAGATATGTTTGTGCGTGTGTGTGTGTGTGTGTGTGTACAAACACAGTAATATTTTGAAAATCCTAAACGTCCTGTCACATTGAGACTATGCATGCGGACGTGTAAACTAAACCCGCTTCCATTTCGGTAGGGCTAAGCCATTTTAAATAAAATAAAACCTGTCCCTGTGAGCAATTTGATGCCTGGCACCTTCGCTCGTCTCTTTAAGCGAGAAAGGTAGAGAAAGAGGCAAGGATAAGGGAGCTAAAGGTGTCATGAAATATTACGAGTCTCGTGCCCTTTGAAGATTCCACGGATTTCTTGCGACAAATGAGAAAGTCAACTCTAGTCTACGGAGCTTTGCGGCAGAATAAATCGGACAGTCTTTAAAGCTCCTTTGAATAAGCTGCGCGCTTCTCCTATGTGACGCGTCTATCCATCCGAAAAACATGCGGTTCTTCCGTTCTACCCTTGGTCCCGCTTTTCACGTACTTGCGACGCCACTTCTAGACCTGAAAAGCAAACAAGGCTGCAGTGTAAGGACGACTCCTCCGTCCTCCCCCTCGATGTCTTGAGAATGACGATTTCAAACGCGGACCGGGGGGGGGGCTGCCTGCCCGCCAGCCTGCGCGCCTTAGCCAAAATAAACCCCCCGTAGAAAGCGCCACTGACGAGCAACCAAAGGAAAAGACTCGCCTCCTCCCTGCTTGCTCGATGGGGCGACGGCACGACATCGCCTGCTGAAGCAAGAAGAGCGCCGCTGGAGCCCTGATAGGCAACTGGCAGCCCCCGAGCTACATCTGGCCCAAGCCTTACTTTAAGTTGGCCCGTGGTGCGGGGGCCATTCCCTGCTAGCAGATTTTGGAGTCCTAGCCCCAACTAACTGGTTCGGTAAAGGGAGGTTGGCAGGCAGGGGTGCCAACTTGAATAAAATATTGTGGGGGCCCAGGCAAGCTCCGCTCCGCGTAATCGATCACATGACACAGTGCACACACACACACACACACACACACACACACACACTATTTGAACTTTGGGAGGTTTTCAAAAATTTTTGTGGGGGGCCCCCAAGCCCCCTAAGAGTTAGCTCCTATGGAGAGGCATGGGCATAGCCAGGATTTATTTTAGGGGAGGAGGCTTTATGTTGGGAGGGGGGGCAGAACCGAGTTATCCGCAACGCAATTGGTCAGTTAGTTAGGCATTTTTATATATTTACTTGATTTGGTCTTTGCTTCCCATTCCCGTCCAGAGACATCTGCCAGGCGTTCTCTCTTTCCTGCTATATGCCAGCATCTGCACATTTACCTATTTGTTTATTGCATTCAAATCCCACCCTTTCCCCCAAGGCGTACAAGGGTTCCCCCCCCCATCCTCCTTTAACCTCCCCCCCCCACAACAACAACCCTGTGAGGTAGGTTGGGTTTAGGGGCAGTGACAGTGTGGCCTACGGAGGCTTTCCCTTTGGGTCTGGAAGGAGAGACAGGACCGCCCCGCTTGGCTCTCCTGGATGGTGCAACAAGTATGCGAGTCTGATTTCTCAGGGCTCTTCATCAGGTAGGCGAAGAGTTCTGTGAAACCGGGAAGCTGGCCCGCACCGCAGCCGAGACTGATAACGGCGACAGCCCTTCCACCACCTCTAAAGAGCGTCGACTGGAGCACCAGTTGTTTGGGGGTTTGTTTGTTTTTGCTCTCGTCCTCATAACTGCATCATAACTCCTGGGTTCTAGCCCCACGTGGGGCAAAAGATCATTGCGTTGCAGGGGTCCGACCTGATGACCCTCGTGGTCCCTTCCAGCTCTACAATTCTATGATTCTATGGTAGACAAGTGTGCAAGGGTGTACACGTGTGTGTGTTTAGGGTCGTTGCAATTTGCCACCTTAACGGTACACAGTCCCATCCTGCAGGCACCCCTTAGAAGAAACTAGTACGGTTCATTGCCTGGCTCTGGTTTTTACGCTTTGCAAATCGCTTAGAAGCCTATTCCGACATTAAGAGGTATATTTAAAAAAATTAACAACCACTCCCCCCACTGGAACTAATAACACAAATGTGTTTAAGATCTCCTTCAGCCTCTCTCAGATCTGCCCCCGAACCAAAAGACTTTTATCTCCCTGTCATCTCTCTCTTTCTCTTTCCCCCTTGCCTTCTTTATTATATTCCGCCTTCTGGATTCCACCTCCGGGCTTGCTTGACTTCTCCCGAGAGCCGAGAACACACCGAGGGCAAAGACGGGCCCTGCCAGTTTCTTCCATTGTCTTTCAGCTGAGCGAGGCTGGAGGCACGAGGAGCCGCCTCAGTCCAGAGGGAGCCAGAGGTGGGGGGGGAGCCCCGCATAAGCCCCCTTGTTCCACAGGCAAAAGTTGCTTATCTCGGAGCCCTTTGGAGAAAGAGGGGGCGGGGCGCAGCTCAGCGGCGAGGGGGAAAGTTTGGGAGACTAGAGGCTCACAAGTCAGGTCACCTTTGAGCCACTGGAGAAGTCATAGCTCTGCGGAGCCGTCGCTCGTAGCCCTGGCACGGCGGGGACGGGGGTGTCCCCAAATCGCTCAGGCGCTCTTTGGAATGGCTCCCAGCTCCTGGAGTGGATCCTTCATTCAAGTCTCCACAATCACACACACAAAACCCTGAAGCTCGCACTTTTGGGTGCAAAGGCTCCTTGCCTAGCTTCCGAGAGTGATGAAGAAGAACGGGTTCATCGTCATAGAGTTTTCATTTGTTTTTCGCAAGCAACAGTCCAGCAACTCACACAGCCTGGGGGGGTGCGGTTTGCGGGTGGAGGGGGGGTCGTCATGTGCGCTTTCCATAAAGCGTAGCTTCGCCTAGGAAGTTGGATCACGGGGGCTTTGGGAGAGCACAGAGCTGTGGGGCTGTGAGCGTGTTTTGCAGCCGACCTGTCCCCGGGGCTTGCTTTGCGCAAAACTAGACGAAGGGCGAAAGCCAGCCTTCCCTGAGCAACGCTTTTCGGATCCCAGCGCCTTGTGGATCTCTGCACAGCCGTGCGCAGAAATGCGTGTTTTTGGATCATCTTGAAACTCGGTTGTTAACAAACACAACCTTCTCCATGTATGCATGAAGATGACAAAAACAGATTCGATCCATTTTTCATTTCAGGTATCTCAACTCCCGCTTCCCCTTCCAGGGAGGCTGTGAAATCGAATCACCTCTTTTATGTGTTTCTACGTCTGAGTCATTAAGTGTCATTTTCTTCTGTCATCTCCAGTAGGAAACGGCTATATTTTCTTTTTCTTTTTCCTTCACCCACTCATTCCGTTGCAATTGGAAGTTTAACCGAAATAAACTAAGGCTGTTTTCAAGAAAATGTGTTAAGCGACACATTTGCTCTCTCGCTCTCTCACACGCACTGCAGGAGTCAGACGCGAACACCGAGGCACATACATAAAATGACTGTGTATGTGTGTGATGAGCACACGCGTAAACAATAAATAAATGTATATATATGGATCCATACAGTACACAGTGTATTCTGACCAGCACACTCAAAGATTATTAAATAAAAAAACATTCATAGCAATCTAAATAGGTAGTGGCGGGGTCTCCCTCTTTCCTTGTCTAGAAAATACAACAATAACACCACACGCACACACAAACCTGTCGCCCGATAAGAAATTGAGGCATCTGCGCCCAGGAGGGGCTCCGGGAAACGCAGCCCGCTCCGCCGAGGCCACGAACTTGTTTTCCGACAGATACAATTCAAAAATCCACGGAGAGAGAGCCGAGCCCGCTCCTGGGCGCAGATGCCTCGGTTTCTGGACCGACTGATGATGACAGATACCTAGTTGATAACCTCCGAGGGAAGAAGTTATTTTAATTTCCAGTCACTTTCCTGTTAAGTACCATATCGGTGTGTATGCAGTTAAGATAAGAGAGCCAAAGGCCCAGGAGAGGGAGCGAGTGGAGGAGAGGAAAGGCAGAGAGCGGCGGGCAGGGAAGGCCGAAGGAAGGAACCGAGGTCCAGGCGGGAGATCTGGCCCGGCCGGGAGACCCTGGATCTCCGCAGATGTGGTCCTGGGCAAAGAGATCTGGGTTCAGCTGCCTGGGAGGGATCAGAAGCGAAAAAGCGGGGTGGAGGCCCCTTTAACTTCAAAATAAAAGAAAACACATTTTCTCTCCTGAATCCTTCACAGGAATCTTCGCAGAGGAGCGAGGAGAAACACGAAGAAACAAAATAAAGGAAGAAATATAAATCTTATCCATGACTGAATTTAAAATCAGAGGAGGAAAATGGTTTGTGTATTTATTCACTCATTCATTTATTTACTAGGAAAAGGATGTGATACTCTGAAGCGGTAGAATAAGAGGAAACATAAAGGGGAGGGATGGAAGGGATGATATTGCGCGTGAATTCCCGAGGCAATTTTGGGAGCCGCGCATTTTGCCGGAGGGATTTTGCCTGCGCTCGGCTTTTACCGATCCTGTCCCAGCCTCCCCTCGCCTCTTTCCCCAGCACCACATTGGCTTACAAGGGGAGGGCTGGCTTGGCCTCTCCTCCCCAGCGCCGGCTTGCCTTCCTGGGCGCGCGGGGGGGGGGACTGGCTGGCGCTGGGATGGGCACCCCCGCCAAGCCACACCCACCCAATCAGCTAGCCACCCCCACCGTCCTTCTTTCCCTGCCCCCACTCGCTCTCCTCGCTATTTGCTCAGAGCTCCCTGACTCCAATCAGGACTTGCTGGCTGCACTTTTCCGGCCGCGCGGAGAGAGGCGCCTCCTTTCGCTCTGCTCTTTATACGTGCAGCCGCCGCCGCCGCCGCGCAGCCCCGCTCGCCTTGCCTCTCCGCCTTGGCAGCCTTGCCGCCTGCAGAGACACACCCGACAAGGACCCTCGCAGAGCCGCCGCCGCCGCCACAAAGGTGCGACTGGGGAACTTGGAGAGGGAGGGGGGTCCCTGGACTTCTCCAGGGCCCGGCGAGGCCCCCAGCCCGGGCAGCCAGCATCCTCTTCTCGGGGTCTGCTTAATCTGCCCCGTCGGCCTCTGACCGGCTCCCCCTACCCTGAGGAACCCACCCCCCTTTTGCGCCTTTCGCGTGAGAATTTGGGCACCTCAAGCCTCTGGGGCCGGAGAGCGGGCGAGGCTTTGCCTGCTCTGGGCGCGCGACTGCGGCGACACTGGGACGCTCTCCGGATCAATGATCTGGAGCCTGGATCGTGGGGAGGGCTGGAATAAGGCCGAGACGGCAAGCAGGGCTCGGGGCTTCCACTGGCCTGCGGACGAGGCCCCCTTCCCAAGATGCGCCGGCGGGTCCCCTCGGCAGGCCGCGGCGAGCCGGAGAGGAGGCGCAGGAACCGTGGCTTAGACTGGCACCAACCTCCTCTGCTTCCCCCTTGGCAGTTTTGATCCTCGAGGGTGGGGGGCAACCCACACAGCCAACCCCGACCCTGCCTGCCCCGGGACCCCCAAGAAGGGAGGGTGTCACTGACCACCCCCAGACTTTCCTGCCCTTGCGCCCTTGGGCACCTTTTCTCCGCCGCCCCCGTTCGCTTGCATTGCGAATTGTTTTCATTCTGGAGCCACTCCAGTGACTCATTGGCTGAAACCAAGGAGTGGGGCAGGGCGGCGAGCGGGCTGTTGGTGGGCGGGGGTGGCTGGTCCTTGCTGAGGCGGCCCGCAGCCCCCGCCCCCTCTGGCTTTTGTCACTCGCTTTGCCCGTAAGCAAAAGGCAGCCCGGGCGGAGCGAGCGGACCCGGCGGGCGGGCGGGCAGGCTGAGCGCTGCTGCAGCTGTTCTGGGGGCAGGCGCTACGCCGGAGGGACTCCCGATCCTGAAGACGCTGAGGTGGGACCAAGCGAGGAGTAGCCTGCTGAGATCTTCCCACCCACCCCAGACCCGCTTGCTTGCTTTGCTTTGCTTTCCTTTTGACGCGGCGCAGGCGCTGCGCTTTCCTGCTGCGTCCCCGCGGAGCTCGAAGAGCTGCGTTGCGCTGCCCGTGCGGCTGACTCCGCTAGCTCGGCTCCATTTTGCAGGTGGGAAAGCCGAGGCTGGGGAGGAGGGAGGAGGGCCGGATTGTCCAGGGGGTCCGTGGCAGGGATGGGATTGGGGGAAGCCAAGGAGGAGGAAATGGCTCGCTTTTTGTGCTTCTTGTCCGCGAACGATCCGGGAGGACTGCGCGGCCGCCGGTGTGGGAGCGGAGAGCCGCGCACTCTCGACAGGCCTCGTTTTATTTGGTGCTTATTTTATTTAAGCTACGGCGGGCGGCTTAAAAGCCCTTTCCTGTAGCTTCGGTTGTGAGGGTCGCGGTTCCTTAGTGGTGAGTGGCTAGCACTCTGCACGTGCCCAGAGGCACTCTTCGCCAACAAGGTGCTTCTTAAGTTGCAAGACTGAACTCGGGTGGTTGGGCAGGTGGGTGGCCGGGTGGGGAGAGCTCCGTCTACCTCTGGCTTTTGCTAACGGGCTTCCCCCCTCTTCTCTTCCTCCCTAGCTTCGAGGTAGTAGCTGCCGCCGCCGCTGCGAGGCCGAGGGAGAATTGCTGAGCGCCTCGGGGCTGGATGGCCCTGGCTGAGAGTGGTTGGTGCCTGCTGAAGCGCTGCGGCCCCGACGACTTGCCCTACTCGTTGGCACCGCGGGAGCTGCCCTGCCCTTCGCCGTCGCCCTCCTCGTCCTCGGGCTGCTCCCCTGGCGGCAGCGGCAGCGGTAGCGGCAGCGGCGGCGGCCGGACCTTCAAGCAGGAGCCCGGAGGAGCGCTGCAGACCTCGCAGCCGCTGGGCCTCCCCGACGGCCGGCCCTTTCTGGGCCCCTTCGTCTCCTTGGCCGCGGCGCCGTCCGGCCTTTCCAGTTGGGAGGACGTGCTGCTTTTCGCGGACCTGGATCAGGCCAACAAGCTCATCTGGTCCAGCCGCACGTCGGCCAAGCTGAGCCCGGATCCCTCGCAGCCGCTACCGCAGCAGCAGCCGCCGCCCGTCGAGGATATGTACCACCACCCGCACCCGCATCACCATCCGCATCACCAGGGCCTGCAGCCGGGCCCCTACGACGGCTCGTCCCCGGGCACGGGCGGTGCAGGCGGCGGCTTCGTGCCTTCCTCGGCAGGATCGCCCGTCTACGTGCCTACCACCCGCGTGAGCTCCATGCTGCCTTACCTGCCCAGCACCCCGGGGCCCGGGCAGGCTGGTGGCCCGGCGGCGTGGCCCCCGCAAGCGGGCCCAGAAAGCCCCTCCGCGCCCTATGGCGCCACGGGGGGCGGGTGCGCCCACCCGGCGTCGGGCCGTTTCAGCTACCCGGCCAGCAGCTCGCCGGCGAGCAACGGCGCCGCCCGGGAGTCGGCCACCTACAGCCCCCGCGAGCAGTTCCGGCCTTTGAACGGATCCTATTACGCGCCCTACGTGGGCTCCCAGTTCACCAGCCCGGGCTGGGGAAGCCCCTTCGACAACTCCATGCTGCACTGCCTGCCCAACCGGGCCGGGCCCCTCGCCATGCGGCCTTCCAGCGCAGGTAAGGTGGGAACCAGGGGGTGGCAATCCAAAATTGGGGGAGAGAGGCAGGACAGGGAACGGAGACGGGTGGGAAGGGCAGGACACGGGAAAGGCGAAGCGTCCCATCGGGTGGGAATCCGAATTAACAAGCGGCAGAAGTTTTGCATGGAAAAGGTGTTCTGGGTCAGCAAGGATCCTAGGGAAATTAAGCAAACTGAGCGTGGGTAGATTGTTAACTCTAAAAGGTGCTGCTGTGTTTTAAAATGTGATGCTGATGCTGATGATTTATGGTTTTTATTTGAACATGGACAGACGTTTCTAGTGTTCTTGGCTGACAAATGAGAGGTACATTTTCTACCCAGAAATCGCCACAAGCACCCAGTTCCTAATCACTTCTGCACTGTCTTGGGTCCACTGCGCTCCTTTGTGCACGATGCGGGAAAGGACCCCGAAAGTGCAAAAGAGGAGAAACGGGGATCAAAAGCTGGACCCGCTGGCCGTGGCGCTTGTGCGCAGGCAGCACAAGGCAGAAAGACGGGCGCTTTATCTTCTCTCCCCGTAACCCTCTCCCAAGTGTCCCCTTAGCTGTTGCTGGGATTCTGGCTTCGCCAGGACTCGGGAAGGATTTGTTGGGAGGCAACGGTCAGGCTTTCAGTTGCTCCTGACCGGAGGCTTGGAAGGACCGGTTCCTACTCTGGGAATAAAGAGGGCACATCCATCCAAATATTAATCATAGTCTGCCTCTAAGCGATCTACAGGAGACCCAATACAGAAAGACAAAATGAGTTAAAGCTAGACAGTTATAGTTCGTATTGGACATAGAGATAGATAGATAGATATACACAGATAGAGGCTGATGGATGTAGAGGTTTCCGTGTAAATGCTTGGTTCCCCCTCCCCATTGCCCCAATGAACGTGGCTGGATGGTGGCCCTGTTTATCTATTGAGTAGGAAATGGATGATGGAAAAGGGGTTGTACGTGCGCGCGCGTGTCCAGATTCAGGAACTGCCATCAGAGGCCATCGAAACTATAGGGATGACATCTCTTTGAAAGCAGACAGTCCAAGACAAATTCAGGATTTAAATGAGATGGTTGTTATTTGTGTAGCTGATGGGAAACGCTCATTACGAAACCCCGGTGGAGGGAACGTCTTGGGCGAGGAGATTTGGAGAGCTGCAATGGCAGGCGGGGAAAGGGTTAAACGCCCCCCTTCCCCGCAGGAGCCTTCAGGCTACCATCACGCGCCCTAGCGCCGACCTAACCTGCAGTTTGGGGCTAAGGAGATGGTAGGAAACTGAGGCTTTGAGCAGCGTGACCTCACCTCGTGAGCGCCGCTTTGTCGTGCTGGGTGCTGGGTTGAGAAGGGAAAGAGATTTCCTTCCTGGGGGCTGAAATCTAAGGGTGGCGCTGGGAAAGATGGCCTCCCTTTTCTCGCCCCGGGGAGTTCGCCAGAGAAGGGGTGGCATTAAAATGCTATAGGGCTTTTCCGGGGAGGGAAGCAGGCAGCCTCATTAAACTTAGCTTTAGAATCCTTTGGCTTTCGGAGGAAGATCTTTAAAGGCCATAAAACATATTAAAATGTGTGAATGTGTGGGTGTTAAAATAATTGTCCGCTAAAACTTATTGATTAGAATCAGGCATTTAAGTTTGCTTAGTCCTAACGTGCCTGTTCAGAGTTGAATGTTCAGCATAAATTCAGTGAATATACAGGATAAAGAGCAATTGGATAACCTTAAAGCGAAATGTTGTTTATCCCAAATTGGTAGGGCAAATGTAGAATTTCAGCTGCTTTTTAAGATACGGCTAGTAGTGGCCACAATTCGCTAGTGAGAATTGCAAGGAGGTTTCTGGGGTCCTCATTTCTATATGTGAAAATCAGACCCACCTAAGGAGTAAAAAAAACCCACTGTTTTACTCTGTGGTGGTTAGGTGGTTATTATTCACAAAATTTAACTCCTCCTACTGATCTCCCTAAATAAAATAATGGCATAAATAAATATCTGGTTGTCATATTTATTTTATTTAAAAAGAATAAAGCAATTAGAATTCCCCCAATTAAGATTCCCCCCCTTCAAATAGAGATTCCCATTTGGAAGCAGTCAGTAATATCATTCCACGTAGGCTCCTTTAAAAGTGATCTGTCTTAATCCTTTGATCAAATGGTTGGGAAAGGACCCTGAGGAGAAATGTCTGGGTGTCAGATATATTTTTAAACCAAACTTTTGGACAGGATATTTTGGACTTCATTCTAGTAATCTACTTTTTTAAAAAAGGTCTTCCAATTTCATACAAAACATCTGTATTTAGTCCACAACATTTACCACCACCCACCTATCTGCTTCACCTGTGTGAAAGCCTCACCGTTTGCGTTTCCTAGTGATAGAGAATTAGCACAAGGCCTCCCACCCTGACTTGGTTAGCCCAGGGTAAATGAGTAAAATGTGTCTAGTATATTGGCTAATAATATAATTCCTTTTGGGTTTAGCCACAAAAAAAGAGGACACTGCATAAGAATGTAGCAAGTCCCTGGGTTGAACAGAACTTTAATGGGATGGTTGAAAGAGAAGGTATCACTTCATTATACCTTTTTCAGATAACATCTTTTTTTTAAAAAAAAGTAGATTTAGGAGCCGCAAAGCCATCCCATATATCCATTTAGTTGGAAGTTAGGTGTTTCATTTTAATATAGCTTGGGGACCTTGTGTTGTGGGAAATGATTGATAATTTAATTAAAGTAATATTAAGCAATGCGTTGGAAGATATTTTGGACCTTAACTGGCCATTTCTATAATTTCATTTATTGAGAAAGATATTTTGGACCAGTTGAGATCGCTAAGGAACTGGACCCTTTTTTGCTTCTCGTAGTGACGTCTTTTACTTACTTTCTTAAATAGATAGCATTTATCCCCCCACCTTTAAACTGTAGTTTAGCAAGACCTACTGTAAAAAGAAAAGGGGGGAAAAGATGGCTGCCTGTATATCTGAAATGCCACATACATGTTGACATATGTGCCAAAAGACAAGTCACAAACAGCTGGGGACCCTTGCAGAGCTGCCAAACACTTGGCAACTGCCTTCCACCATCTCACACCAGGCTTCTCAAATTTGGTTTTGTCAAATGGACCTTTATTGGGTGAGGGTGGAGGAGAGAGATGGCTGTCACATAGCGCCAGGCATTAAGCAAGGCAAGGATAAATGTGCAGGGCTGGGCGACTGGTTTTTCTTTAAAGGGTCCAATATTTTAACTTCTACAAAGTACTGGCTGCTGGATCAGGCTGAAGACCCATCTGGTCCAGCAACCCTGGTCTTCCAGAAGCCAACCCAATGGTTCTGGGAAGCCCAGTAGAAGGACCTGACCTCGCTTGCAACAGCTGCGATTCCCAACAGCTGGTATAATATACCTACAGTCGCACTGCCTTGATTGCCATGTAATGGCTTTCTTTTAAATCTCGTAATAACCCCGGCCGGAATTTAAATAAAGGGGTGGGACACCTTTTAAAAAATAAAATTAAATCTAAAACCGAATCGCTCGGGTTCTTTTCACATGAAATCCTAGAACGCCGCCCCCGCCCCTGTCCCCTGTTGAGAACAATGGAGCAAGCCCAAAGCGCCCTGATAAGATAGAAACCTTTGAAAACTGGCTTTATTATAGTTTTTCTCAACGCTTAGCATCGATGTTCTCCTGGCGAGGTGTGAAAAAATAGCTTAAAGGGAGAGACGGAGATATCTGTCCGCCACCAATTTCTCCACCCTCCCCTTACTCTTGAGGGAGAGAAAATGTGCTCATTGTATTAAACCACAATAGGCTGCGCAATTGCTGCCGTTGTTGTTTTTTCTCCTGCAGACAAAAAACCCGGGATCGTCTCCCCGGGCATTTCTTTGCAAAACCCAACTCGAGGAAGTTAACCTAATCAAGGGCCGACTTGGCTGCAAGATTGTGCCTTCAAACGGCTGGGAATGATTGAATCAGTTTCAAGGTTGGGCGCCCCAAAGCCCGTTGCTCTATTATCCCTTCGATTTGACTAGGAACCGGTTTTATTTGACTTGGCAAAAAAAGGGGGGGAGTGGGAGGGGAAGAAGAGAGGACTGTGTGTCTTAAATTAGTTCATCTGCATCTAGGGGACGTGTCTCTGCAAAATACAAAAACTCAGGCTGCTAGCTGGTTAAAGTTCAGTGAGTGCTTTTTAGCCCATTGATTGATTGGGTAACCTTTTAAAACAAACATTAGTTTCTCAATACCGCATTGTTGTAAAAAAAAAAAAGGCACCCAGGATGATTTTCCAAAATCAATTAGGAGAACTCTGAATGAAATTAAATATTTTTTTTTTTTTTTTTTTTTTGCTATATAATGCAGAAGAATCAAATATTGCATTTTTGAAAAATAATTTATCTAAATTCGCTGAATTCAATACTATGATAAAATCAGAATGGAAAGCTCTGGTGTTGAAAAATAAGTGTTTAAAGATTAATATATTAACCAATGGTGCTGAATCATTTCAGAAGAAACCCCCACAACTCATCCCAAATTTGTGTCACTAAACTAAATTGAAAACAGGGTATACTCATTTTATATATACCTGTATATATAAAACCTTTAAATATTTGTTTCACTCCTTTTTTTAATGAAACAAATATTTAAAGGGAGTTGATTTTTTTAAAAAACCAAGTATACCATACTTATAGTTTATTTTAGTGACACAAAGCTTTTTACTACCCTAAATTAAAACTGGTCCATTGCCTCACAGTAAAAATGCTTCCCCACCTGTCTATACCCAACTGAGTCTTAACTGTGTGGGACTTTACTGTATCCATGATGTGATATCTAGAAAGATGTTGCTTTTTCAAAAAATCAGAGTTCTCTTTAGAGTCCCTAAAAGCCTTTGTTCCAGTTCTAAATAGACTTAATGTATTTAGAAATGAATTCAACAGGGGGGACCTTACTGCGGAGTTACTGTGTAACTGTTCCCAGAACATTTGAGGAAGTAGGCTGTTGCCTTAGAAAACTCACTGCAAGCAGT